GTCTTTCATTAAACTATTTTTCACTTTCGGGACGAGCTTACTGTCAGATTTTTATAATTCCACAAAATATTGGGATCGAAGAATTTGAAAGCAATTTTTGCTCGCAGCGTACATTTTATCATTTTTCCCCCGTGAGTCACGTATTCCTTCGGCCTTTTGTGCGTTTGATTTTATTTCGTCAACGAACGCCAAGTTATGATCTCGACGTCGGAAGAGGCTGATGAACGTTCGTGATGGGAGATATCGACTGGTCGTGATTCGCTATTTTATTTATTTTGCAACTCGAACGTCGGAGCGTACCGCGTGCGAAACTAACATCTGCCCGCACGCAATGCAAATACCTCCGAGCGGTATTTTTGCGTTGCACGAACACCGTCGATCAATGGCTAAGAAAATGGGAAAGCTGGCTGCTATCTCAGATACACGGAATGAATATTCACCGGATGTATTCATATTTTATTGCACTTAATGTCGATGAAACAACGAATGAACCATCAAAGACACTTCGTAAAATATTTCGTTGAAACTTTCCCTGCAAAAATTGCACAATTCTCGTTTTTACGGAAAGAAAAATGAAATTGAACATTCCCGACAGAATGAAACTCCCACAAAATTGTACAACCCTTTTTCAACCGGGCACCCTTTTGCATAATTCTCACTTAAAAGATTGAAATATCCGGCTAAATCGTTGTTATTTCGCACATTTCCTGTCCGTGTTTGCCTCAAGCTTAGAATTTTCTTACCAGAAAACTACTAAAATTGGACGATAAAGTAGACAATCGTGGTTATCGACATAAGGGTTAAGAAAGATTTCAGCAGATAAAGTTAGACGAAACACCCTGTGCAATCTGCGATAAGTAATTTATTCAAGCTCAAACATCACGCACACATCACAGATAGATAATAATTCATAAACGAATAATTTCCAAGAAGAATAACTGTTCCTGTTTGCAAAGCAGTAAACACAGATATCCTCGTGGAGATAACTCTGGTTGATCGTAAAATTTGCTTAAATTTCCAGCGACAATCACGCGCACGCTTTGCCACACGTCTGTTCCGTGATATCATCGCTGTGACAGGGCGCGTGTTCACCGCGGAAAAAAGGCGATAAAGTCCGGCCGGGTGAATTGTTAAATTAATTAGAAGCCTCTTTGGTGAAACTCGCGTGTCGTGAAAATTCCTGTCCAGTGGTCGAGCGCAGCGGATCGATCCGTTTTTTCTTCCTTTCGTCTGTAGAATTTCTCTCTCTTTCTCTCTCTGGCGTCTGAAAAATAAAATCTCGCCGGATGATACGGACGGCGGTGTAGAAATAATGATGTCGCGTGAATCTGCGAACTGATTGAAACTTTCAGAATGCAAGTCGGTTTTTTGCCAATTATACCTTGACTGCTCGGTCCTTTTTTCCTCTCTTTGTCCGCTAACTACTATCGATTTTTCTCTCTCGAACGTGTACGCGTTAAACGTGTGTGTACTTTATTATTCGTTCGTTTCCACTGTTCCGTCGATGATTCGCATAATATTTGCTTTCGGATTGAAAATGAAAAATACGGTTAATATCGGGGAAATGTTGTTTGCATTTGTGAAATATTTATCAGCAAATACGAACGAATTCTCTCTCTCGTACTAGAATATTGGAAAATTACGTTAGTTCCTGTACGCGCGATAATAAATGATCGAATGCAATTTGTCCGTACCTTCGACATGACGAAAAAAATCGGTATCTTTTACGAGTAATCAGAGAGAGAGAGAGAGATTCACCGAGTGAAACTTATATTTTCAAACACACACTTATCCGAGGATAATTAATGAAACAAACGACAGACGTTGTACAGCGTAGGCACACACGATTCATCATTCAAAGAAACGAGTTCTTTCGCGAAATCAATCGAATGGTACGGTCGCGGATCTAATTACAGACATCCTGCGCGCTTCGCTCGCTTCTTAATTGATTAATGGAGGATCCTAGCGTCGGTACAGCCGTATCGTAGACGTTTTCAGAACGAACCCGGCATTTTAATTGAGATAAATACGTGTTAACCGTGCGCCCGGATCGCCACTTCCAAAGGCAGACGTAATTACAAACGACTGGTTCGGTTGAAGCGAGCGATAATATACAGGCTTTATCACGGGGAACGATCCGCGAATGATTATTATTAATTAGCCAGAACCTCGTAATTGCACGTTTCTACCGGCTGGAAATCCACTCGAAAGTATCCTCTCTCTCCTCTTCTCTTCTCTTTCTCCCTCTCTTGTTACGTTGAAATATATTTACCCTCGTCGGGGGCATTAATCATGGAAATAACTGTCCAAGGAGCTTGAAGCCGAGAAAACGAATCGTAGTCGCGATTGTGTGCTCGTCCGCCGGATCCTGTTCGAGAGGTAACGGGAAGAGGAATGGCAGGAAGGCTGGTTGCAGCAAAATACAATGTACCATTCGAATCGTTTGTTCGATGGTATTGTAATAAATGTTACTTGCTGCAATGTATCAGAGGTTGTGAAATGATTCGCGTCATTGTCGTGCAAACTACAAATGGTATTATGCGCGATTCTGCTCTGACTCAGGGGAACAGAATTTTTCGTCAATTCTCTTTCGATTATCTATTCGATGGTGTTACAATGATACCAATATCCGCAAATGGTGTTACATGAATTGTGGTCAATTCTATTCGAACCGTTTATTTGATAATTTTGTAACAACTGCAAATTGTATCTCAGGTGTAACTCGGGAGAATAGTCAATTTTGTTTGATCATTTTATTATAATTCTAAATTTAAAAAAAATTTTTAAACGCCGATGCGAAAATCTGCTGTAGCGAAAGGTATTTGAAAGCATTTCGTGACACGGTATACCTGGTAACTACACGGCTAAACGAAACTTCACAACACTCAGCTTCTCCATAAAAAAGTGTTTCCATCGAGCTTGTGAAAGAACGATTAATCATCGCCTCTAAATTAGGGAGAGCCACGGTCCTCTGGTAATGGAGAGTAGCTAATCGTCCGTGTCCAGCACAGTTTCAAGAGGATCAGGGATGAGATAGCGAAACTACGGGCTTCGAGTATCAGTCAGTCGGGTTAAACTTCTCAGGCTGTGAAGTCCCAGGTTGCCTAAAACCCGCGCATTAATCACCGCATTAGAAAGTTCTATCGAACGAACTTGGTTGCTCTGTCGTGAGGCTCTCAGCTTCTTCTTCTTCGCGCGAAACTTAAACTCGATTGCAACATTTAAACGGCCCAATAAAACTGAACACGTAAAGTAACTCACGTGATCACGATGAATCATAAACCGTTCATCCGGTGAAACGAATCAATCGAGAGAAACTCCGTCGTCAACGGCGAGATAAAGCGATATACTGTATATCGTTGCACAATCCCGGTGACAACGTCGAATCGTGAATTTTCTACAATGTGTATACATACATTAACGCGATCACGCGATCTCGTTTTATAGGTCGATGCATCCGGGGTAAAACGAAAGGCATTAATTCTACGATTGCGCGTAAAGTATACGCGGCTGTCGCGTTTATTCGTCCAACTTATTAATTTATGTCACGCAGCCGGGCGCCAGAACTTGAGTTACGGTTCGCTCGCACGAAAGCATAAAGCGATATCGGCCTCTCCTTGTCACACGCAGACGAAAAAGAAAAAAACATTGCACGTATATATATATATATAAATAAAGATCGTGTATCGTAATACGGGGAGAAACGCGAACGGATTCGCTGTTGCGTAATTCCAGCCGGAGAGCCTCGTCTTTCCGATATTCCCGCGGCGAGACAAGAGGCAACGAAAATAGTCAAGGTGTGGCCTGTGAAAATGAATTTTGCATTTTAACATCGATACACGCCGGTTATTTACCGGCTCCGATCCGTAAACGCACGGCCGTTTTCGCGCGTGTTGCACAACTGCGACAAATTACGCGCGCGTATGTTGCAATAAAAGAAATTCAGCAGGCGCGTTCGTGGAGATGGCTCCTCCGTCTCTCGCTGAATAACCGCGGCCCGATACTCGTGTACGTACGCGCTATACACACCGCTGTAACGACGCCGATACGTTACGGCGACAGAGAAGGGTGAATATCCTGCAAAGCGTATTCTCGGAATAATCGTTTGACCCGTCTACCGGGAGATACCTGTTTTCCAATAATTTAAGCCGTGCACCGTGTAATTTCCGATCGATCCCGCATGATTTTATTTTCATAGGGTAATTATGGCGGCTGGAACGGTGATTTAATAAGTTGCACATTCTTCCAATGGTCGTGATATTACACGTGTACGTGTTTTCTATTATTCGTTGTGCTTTGTACGTTATTTTTGTATGGAAGAATCGACGTATATTTCTGTAATATTGCATTGTGGAAATATCAGATTGATATGTTGTACCGAGTAGCAACAGTATCGATTATAGATCGTTCGAAATTTCGCGCCTGCGCGTTCTCCAATCCGCAGACGCGCAAGCTTAAGACTGCGCGCATGCGCGTAGTACGTATACGTCGTACGTTCCGCGAGAAAGATTTGCAAATGGGATTTGTGAAAATAAATAATTTCGCGTGTATTACTGTTGCGTTAACTCGTTGTTTGTGTTGTTGCTATTCGAATTATCGCGAGATTTGTTATTACTCGTAAAAGAATATTATCGTTGGATGGGTTAATATACGCTAACGTTAAGAACTATTTAGTCCTTAATATTACTACGTAATTTGTACTGCGCATGCGTGAACCGATAACTACGTCATAGCGTCATGTCTATCGAGTCTTGATCGCGTCGGTTTCGGTAATGATGCAATATTCGCGTAAACGTTCTAAAATTTCGTTTGTGCGGTATTAAATCGGTACAGTGAGTTAGTTTTAAGTATCTGGCGTGACAGTGTGGTGTGTTGTGTGTTGTGTGTGCATAATTGTAACGGCCAATGAACTCCATAGAGGCAAACGTAAGACACAACCCTGTTTATAGGTTATTCACTCCCGAATGGCAATCGTGCTAACGATAATTCTGTTTGCCTAGGGCTTCCAGCGTCCGCGGGCCCGATTCGCCGTTGAGCTCGGATCTGGCGCTTGATAAGCCTCGCCCCATACCATCACCCAGGTAAGCTACTTTGCGGTTGCAACCCTTTCTCGCCTTGTAAAAAGCCAATGAAAAAAAATTTCTCGACCCCGATTTCCCGAGTAATAAACTCAGAGGTTAATTGGAAAACTTGGCTGGGCAGCCTCGAAGGACTTTGTTTCTCACGGTCGAGGCTGTTCATCCTTCTGTAGGGCTTCGACCTACATTTACGAGGGATGCGGTAATGCGTATTAATTGAGACGATGCCTCGTGTAGAAGTTTCGTGCTTTCAAACCGTTCCGTGAGGTTCGTCGAGGTTGATGAGTTCGGGATAATATTGAGCTGTAGGAAATTTGTGTATTATACCGGGAGTTTTCTGCTCGAAGATTCTCGTCGTGCTTTAGAAGTATAGATAGAAGGAAAGTGTGTTTGAAGTTTTGTTAAAAAATATTCGAGCAGAAAATATACGACGCAACGTCATGATGGCGGCGCTGTATTTCAAGATGGCCGACATTGTCGTAAACATAAGAGTGATATCGATAAAGTGTCGCATTGTCGTTTGTTTTGGAATCCGTGTTGTTGTTACGCGTGTTCTCGTTGATGCTTCGAGTAACCTTCTTACCGTCGTGCTTAGCACATAGCGACAAAGTGTGATCGGCGAACAGGAGAATACAGAGAATACGAGAGCAGCATTGTCGAATTAATTGAATTACTCAAAACCCGGCTGGTTCTTCGTTAATTTAATTTCCCCGTGTTCGAAGTGTTAATAAACCGTAGTTCCCGAAGCATGCTCAGGAAGTTCTATTTTTACCCTCGCGCTGGTACGAGTTTCACCCTGTGCACGTCGAGATTCACCCCTCGATGGAGGAGCTTGACGTTCGATAAGCCTGGCAACACAATAAACCATTCGCCGTGCACACTGAAACGCCTATTTTATTTCCTCATCGACACGTGGTATTTCGAGCCCCAGAGCTCTGTCGACCACGACGTGAACCGAACCCCCGTGAACCCTTGCTCACCACCTGACTAAAGAGAGAGAAAGATATGTAGAATGAGTGAAAGAGTGAAAGAGTGAAAGAGAGAAAGAGAAAGAAGGATACACCCCATCGCGTTCCCCGGCTAAACCACTTATTATCGAGCATCCGCGTAGCTTTCCTTTGTTTTTCACTCTCCTTCTCGTGCTTTTTTTTTATTCACTCGCCAGCGTGTTTCACTTTGCCCCTGAGCACGACGATAGAGAAAGAGAAAGAGAGGGGGGGAAAAGTAGGAAAAAAAGAATTGCACGGCGGGAAGGTGAAAACGAGGAGACGACGCGGAGCTGCAAAGCGAGTCGTAATTAGAGAGCAACTGGTTCCGGCGTCTAATTAAAATATGTTGCTGATTTTCGATAGCGTGTATATGTGGATTATTTTCTGTTGGAAAAACATATCGCGCAATGCTGTTCAAAGGAGAATGTAAAGGCATTAATTACGTTAATGGTGTAGTACATACATTTTTTTCCTTTTTTCCCCACCGCCTTTTAAATATGTTTTTCTACTTTTTTTTTTCTTTGAATTACATTTGCATGTCGGTAAGTCGCTTGTTAATGCAGCCTGGTTGTTTCTGGGCAATTTGGTCTTTGAAGTTTACCCGAAATCGCTGACCTCCGACCGTGTATTTTGGATATATACCAGTTAGCAATTCGTTGGACCGTGTGCGCGCGAGCATTAGCCCCGAAATTCTCCTCGAAATACTTGCGCGATCGTTTCACGTGGTTGCGTCGTTCGCATACTCCCCGTGCTATTTGTGTTCATCAATTCGGAGTGACCCAGTGTGAGCAGGTCAATTGTAAAATAGTTCGCTCGAATATAGAGTTGGCTACTGTGAATTTATAAAATTCCTCCCTCGTTTTCCATATTATAAATTATCCAATCTACAATACTTACGGTTACTCTAGCTAATATTCGGCACGAATAATGAAATTGACGAAATTTTCCAAATCTACGAAACATTTTTTTTTCTTTTTTTTTTTCAATTTTCATTGAAGGCTCGGATAAAGAAGTTGTAAAAAGTGACTTTTACTGTTCTCTTCGCAATTTCCACAAATTTCAATTATCTGGTACGCTGATGTGAGTGCGTTGTTTGTATGAATGCGTTGTCTGTGTGAATGCGTGAGGGTCTATGGCCGGAGCGGTAAGGACCGGCGTGCCAGGTCGAGTGTTTGGGATAGCGCGAAAGATATTGAACGAATGTTTAGTTTTAGTAATCAGGCGAGGAGTGCGTGAGTGCGTGTGTGTTTTCTTCTAACGAAAAGTGTGCATGTATGTGCAACTATTAATAAATATAGCATAGTCAAAAGTCCGTTCGAGTTTACTATCCCTCCACACAAAAATCCCCTACAGTCGTTTGATTCGATTTTTAAGAAGTTATACTGTTCCAAAGAGGGTTCGAATATTAGCGAGAGTAATTGCATCTCGTTTGCATTTGTTTCTCGTTAAATATCTCGCTGGAAAATTTCCATTTAATAATGTAAACATTAACGTCTCGTTTTTTCTTGAAATTCTTATCGCAGTGAAATGTGAGATGAAGGTTCGAATTTGAATTAACATTTCAGTAAAAATCCGGGCGTTTTTAACGAACGGTATAAAAATATTCTTCGCCTCGCGCAATAAACGCGAAGTTTATAAGGTTCCTCGGGTATTTCCTGGCTCTATTTCCACTTTATCGCGTGAAATTTCTTTACCTCAGATCACATTCGACGAAGACTTTTACGAGGATCTCGCGTGAATGATAAAAACTCGACTCGCTAGCCGTTTAAAAAGTAATACCTTATGTGTACATTTACATTTTATTAAAACGTAATAATCTGTTACTCCGGCCTGGAGAGTTGAATTTTACGCCGTTTTAATAAAATATCCACGAATTCTGGCGATCGTCGAACGAGAAACCGATTACGCTCGCTCGTCCACGAAATTACAATTTGATCGCGTTATTGCGTGGCACGGTCTCTCTCTTTCTGAAATTTTTCCGTCTCTCTGTTTCTCTGCTTTTGCCCAAAAATCACTCGCAAAATCTGCGTTACGAACAATGCGAAAAATTAATATTCTTCCCTTTGCTATATTTGATACTACGTTCAAAATGAGAGTAACCTCGCTCTCGGACCGATTCTCCTCCGTTCTGCGCATAGACAGAGAGCGTAGCAGAGGGTAAGACGGAGAAAAACGTGGGTGGTTAACCACTAGAACGACCAGACCTCCACTTAACCCTAGGGTCTTCGGGTCTTTTTTGACCCAAAGGTCTTAGGTGTAACAATTTTTTGTTACCAGCGCGCCGTATTAATTTAGGAACTTAGGAATTAGGTTTCGATGTAATGCTAAGGGAACATAAATTTGGTAACAGCAAAAGTAATTAAAAAGATAAGAAGGCGATGGGTCAAAAAAGACCCGAAGACCCTAGGGTTAAGTGGAGGTTTGGACGTTCTAGTGGTTCTAGCCCTGCCTTAGGCACGTTCCATGCGCGAAGCGAGGTTACTCTCATTCTGAACAGAGTATAATTTCCAACGTTTCGCCTTTTATACTATTTAATGTGTAGTATCGAGGCCTCCGTACCCAAATAGGAAACCTCGAAGCGCGCAAAGCCTCGGCTTGCTAAGCCGAAGGTCCCGGGTTCGATTCCCGTTTTGGGTCCCTCAATATTTTTCCCTAGGTTCCTACATATGGAGGCTCGTCCGGGATGGAGGCATCTACGGCTACACGAAGCCAGGAGGTGTGCGATGAAAACATGTTGAGGGTTGTACGTCTCCCAGAAAAATGCGTTGTTTCGGCTGTGTTGAGTTGCGTTGCACTGAGGACATTCGAGGGCGAATGTCGATTCAGGATGGCCGAGTGGTAGTATCATCGGGGCCTCCATACCCAAATAGGAAACCTCGAAGGGAGAATAGAGAGGGAGTGGTTGGCGTAGCGCGCAAAGCCTCGGCTTGGTTCGATTCCCGTTTGGCTCCCTCAATATTTTTCCGTCGTCTGTTCCTACAAATGTGTTGTTATCGGTGTGTTTTCTGAAGCTTGATAAAGGTAGTATCATCGGGGCCTCCATACCCAAATAGGAAACCTCGAAGGGAGAATAGAGAGGGAGTGAGTTCGGGGGCTTGGTTCGATTCCCGTTTGGCTCCCTCAATATTTTTCCGTCGTCGGTTCCTACAAATGTGTTGTTATCGGTGTGTTTTCTGAAGCTTGATAATACGCTGGAAATTGAAAGCAACTGAACACGGCTGAAACCCGGAAGTCTAGATCAACAGTGTTCGTACACGTTGAGATTAGCTCGGAGAAGTATAAATTTGACGTTAATACACTTTAGTGTAAATAGCTGAAGGATAAGCAAACTAAGTTGGTTCCGGATGAGTAGAAACGCAATACGTCTGGTGTGTGTACAGTTAAAAATAGTTCTATTGATAGTTAACAGTACGGCATTAGACCTCTAATACGTCAATCATTATTGTTATCGGGACAGGGAGTATTGAAACGGACGTAAGAGTGTGTAGTAACGTTCGATAAGCTCATGGAAATCGATGCTCCATTAGTCGATCGCTTTGTAATTCTGTCAAAGCTGTACCCTCGTGAGATTACTGTCGTTGATACGCAAATGCACTCCTCGCATAATCGGCCGTGGTTAGCGCGAACGAATAATCAGCGAAATGGCTTTGTCAGCGTTTAAAGTTGCTCGGTTAAGTCGGTCAGTTTTCCGGTTGCTCAACAACGTCTCGTTGCATTCAAATGCACGTGCAATGGCCTAAGCGATGTCAGAATGCTTCGCGAGATTCTGGTCGTATCCGTGTGTGGTGTGTCTGGGAAATTGTATGAAAATTAAGGTTTTACGTTGGAAATTTCTATAGTGAAATTGGGTCCATGAAAGAATTTAGGGTGCGTTGATGTTTGACAAATATTTTTCTCTCTCTATTATCGCTTCAAGCTATTATCAACGATCCGCGTGTTAAAATTTCGAAGAAAAATGATAAATAGTGCACTTGGGGATCTCTCCTGGGAAATTAGAAATTAAACGAAAATAAAACTCTTATATTAAAAATTTCCATGGTAAGACTCGGTTTATAAAAGATTTAGAGTGCGTTAATATTTGACAAATATTTTTCTCTCTCTATTATCGCTTCAAGCTATTATCAACGATCCACGTGTTAAAATTGCAAAGAAAAATGATAAATAGTGCACTTGAAATGAAAATAAAATTCTTATATTAAAAATTTCCATGGTAAGACTCGGTTTATAAAAGATTTAGAGACAACTATTTTTTCAAACTTTTTCCTATAAGAAATAACGTTTTAATTATCAGTGACCCACGTATTAAATTTTCTTAGAAAAATTCACCAGTTCAGTGTAAACGCATTAGCTCTCAACAAACAGCACTCGAATAATAATTCTTTCTGTTTGAGGAAGAATGGTCTATATACTTTATTAAACTCGTTACATCTTCATAAATATGAACTTCTCCCCAACATTCGCTGAGCAGAGTGCAACGCCAGTTGCTTAACTCTTAGGGCAGGGCCAACTTGACCCCGATTCGAAAAGTCCACGAGGCGGTATACTTTACCTAATTAAAAAAAGAATAAGACCGTGCTTACGTTAATGCATCAACGAATTACCCCGTTACGAAACTTGTAGAGAAAATTTCACTTGCCGCAAACGACACATTTCGTCAGTTCTAAAGAACAAGCTACAAACAAGTGTAAATAGTGACAACGAAGAGGTCGTCGACCTTGTTTAGAAAAAAAGAAAAATGTTACGAAACGTGTTCGCTAATCAAGCTCATTCGCTGGCAAAAAAGCATTTACGCGTTAACTTAGCGCGTATCGTCAGCACGGTAACGTTACGAAAGCATTTTTCCTCGCGGTTGGACTCGCGTTACAAAAGGCAGGAAAAAGTGGGAATTGCGTGTGGTCTTTTTGGACTTGATGGCGAGTCTACCGTGAAAATTGAACTAGCGGTAATGGAATTTCCTCCGCGTCGTTTTATCCTCATCGAGTCTGGCAATGTGTCGCTTTTAATTCGTCGCGACCACATCAAGAAAGAACCATCCCCGTGCATGCGTAAATGGAACTCCTCTCGCCGTCATATTTCTGCACTTTGCTGTTGTCAATTAACCCCTTAACCCTGGAAAGCCGGAGCTGTTGGAAGGGTTACATTAATTTTAGTAAAAGGGAAAAGAAAAGAAATAAATACGATATTTAATTCTTTTGTTTACAGTTGCAGATTATTGGCAGTCTACGTAAATTATTTTGCGAGGAACATTAATTTTTAAAATTTTGGGGACATTTTTTAGCCCTTTGTTGAGCATGTCAGGATTGAAAAATAGGAGAAATGCAAACTGTGAAAAATCATTCCCAATTTTTGTACAGGTTTTCTGTTCTATTACTTTGGCAGTAGAGTTTTTTTTCTGTGATAACTTTATCCAAAAACTTTAACTGTGATATTTCGAAAAATAACGGAATCGAAGTAGAGGCAGAAAATTTTCTGGCCATTTTTGGACATTCTCTTAGGCTTTCTCCGATTAGCGACGAAGTATTCGAGTTAATTCGTGAATGATTTCAACCCTTAAACGTAGTCGACATTTTTCAAAAATATAGTAAGGAATTAGGAAACATACTTCTTTTCAATACACTATTAAACGTCCACGCCAGTTCCTTGGACATCGTTGCTAGCTCATTCTGCTCCTTTTTCCCTATTAACGACGGAGGGTAGATAATTGAGAAGTCTCGAGGTCTCGGATATCCCTCTGAATATCCCGAAAGAATTTCCGCGGGGTGATTTTCGTAGGAAAAAGGGTCCTTAGATTTTTCATTCGAATGAATTTCAATAAAGCTCTGCGGAGAGAGGTCGAGAGGAGGGGTCTGGTCAGATTTATTTCCTCAAATTAGCAATTCAATCTCGACCGAATAATCCAAGCTATTCGCGCGTTTAATTGGCCACACGGTGTAGCGGCGTGGTTCGTTTGCTTTTCGCGAGAGGACAGATGGAAAATATTAAGCCGGTGGAATTACACGCGTACTGTACACAGAAGCGAAATTTCGTCGAGGCGCAAATACCAGCGGGGGAAAAAAGAATCCACGATTAAACCCGAGTGGTTTTTTTTAAAACGCTCCGATTAAAAAGCTGCTTTTCGCCTCGATACTGCTGCTACCGCTGTGTAATCAATTCAATTTCCCTTGGAAATTCTCATCGCGTACAAATTTACAACGATTCGTTCGAATTACCGGCTCGCGTTCAATAGCCAGTTCGTTGCTCGATTTATCAATTGCGAAACAATTTCAGTTCTTCGCGAGAAGAGACTGCTGTTTCCTTTTTCTATTTTATCCCGAACTCGTCTGGTTCTCGTTCGAAAGGGTAGCACGAAACTCCATCTACGCAGAGTAACAACCCTCCTAACAGAGAGACGCTTCTTTACCGACTGTTGCAGACAAATCCACCCCCTGTACGGGGAGAAAGCTGGGCTACTGGGCTATTGCGACCCGCTCGGTAACACAGAGAATTTTCCACCAGCCCCTAACATCGTGGTCGAGGGTGGTAGAATCGAGTTTGTCCGCCCCTCGCAGGATGGCACCACGACACCCCGTAGGAACACCATGTCCCGTGGCTCCCAGACGTTCAACGACGAGTCGGAGAAGTCTGATCCAGCAAAGGTAAGTCGACTCTTTCGTTTTCCATCGGTCGTTCAACCGGTGTGTTTGCTTAGACCCGTTCGTGTTTGCTCCACGGCCGGACCGTGGAGCCGAACCTGTTACGTCGGAGCGTTGCTTGTACGTATGTACCTACAAAGGGACCCGGCTCCGCGAAATTTTTCTCCTTTTTCACGGGGTAAATAAAATGAAGATGACGGAATCTCCGGTTGGATAAACAGAGGTCGTACCGCAGGGAGCTTGTAGTTCACGTCCGGTTCCACCGCGTGTTGCCTGTGAAACGTTGGTTGAAAGCTGCTCGAAATAAGCGCCGAGAGAGGATCAGCTGTTTAAATGACTTTTGTCGCGCGGCCGGGAGACAAATATTTTAAGAGCTTTGACGGAACGGGTGGAGGTTAAATGACGCTTTCGATGAGGGAGGAGTTGTTTTACCGGATGAAAACAAGGTTCTTTTTTCTTTGCCGAACTTGTGTTTGAGCAGTTGATGGGAAAACATGTATTGAAATTTGAACAACTGGATTTACACTGAAAGTGACTAGTTGAAACGCTTAATATTTTTGTGTGTTTAATTTTTTGAATTTTAATCTAAATTTAGTCGACCACTTATATGGATACTATCGAAATTTTCGATTAATCGATAGTTGATATCGACATATCGAAAATTTCGACTAATCGATAGTCAATATCGATATATCGAACCTTTCGATTAATCGATAGTCGAAGTCGATGTACCGAACTTTTCGTTATATGCAAATTTTCGATTAGTCGATAGTAGAAGGTGGCTAGTTTGATTGTTCAGTCGAAGTTTTAATAAATTCCATAAACCCGTAATAACATTATTCATTCAGAGCTCGAAGTCCATTAGCTTCTATCTTAGGAATTCGCGACAGGGTTGAGCTTTGCAATCTCTAATTGACGCCGCGTCGACGTTTCTTAATGCAATCCAACCGGTGTTTGCATTTTGACAAATCGCATTTCTTCGACCCACTCGGCCGTGAATCCGGTTAGCCGGGGGTTTTTGATGGGGTTGAAACGCGCGCTGATTTTTGTTGAACCCTCCCTCCCCGCCCGCTTGAACCCTTCATGTCGTATTCATTAGTCGTAACCATAATGGAATAAGTCGTAACGTGTGAAATACCTGAAGGCAACGTCGTCTACAGGCGGCGGCAGAAGTCTAGCGGTGTGCGGCCTGTGAAATCAAGGCAGCTCGTTAGCTTCTGGTTAAAACATCGCGTTGGATTTTTTTCTTTTTCTTTTTTTTTTTCACGCTCTTTTTACCTCTAACTGACAACGCGCGATAATTGTATCACGCTCTTTACGCCTCGACAAAGGGTATTCATTAAGTTCCGAACTTCGTCTCCCCGTGTTCGTTATATTCTCCCACTGTGCGGTATTTCGGTTGTTTTCTACCGGAACGCTGAAACCTTCCATCGATCTCCGTGGAAACGTGTACGAATTGTATTTTATTGCTCGTTCTCTGGATGTAGAGAAATAAAATTTCAACGTTACGGAAGAGTGAGTATATTTCTTCTCTATTTGTGATTCGCCAAAGTTTAAGCTTGAATGGAACAGGTCCAATTTGATCCTCTCGAACGACACTGAAATTTCGTTAATTACCTACACTTCTCCTAGCCATTTCGATCGTGGCGCATAGCCTCATTGGCAAAGTAGTCACGTTTAATCAAATGATCTTCGAAAGGCTGTCGCGGCGGCGGCGATCGGCTCCCGGCTGGAAAATTTCACCCTGTCCTTTCTCGCGAGCGTTGCAAACGGAACGGGGGAAAAGTGCGCGCAGATTCCTGCCGAACCCTTTAACCCTTCATGTTGTATTCATTAGACGTAATTGATTTTCTCGATAGGGCGCCAGTAGGATTTCCATATTAAATTGGTAGCGCGCAGGCTTTCGTTGTTGCACACCGCGCCCGCTCGCTCGCGTCGATACGCGACGATTATTCTGAAATTAACGACGTTTCGCGGCGTGTCGCGCCTCCAACGTCGGTAATTCTAACGACTTAACCCTTTGTCCGCGCCTGTTCGTTCGTTTCACGGCATTTAGGGTCAATTGTGGCGAGGGTGGATTCGTACGGAAACGTGTCGCGATATTAATTGTCCGAGGTTACCAATTGTACCCCAGATACATGTATGCAGTAATAGATTTAATTATACAGAGTACAATTTCGAGGAAAAAGTTGGCGAACGTCTGTCTGGTTGTAAAGTTGATTCAGTGGAAATTGCGTTAATGTGGAAAAATTATGGTAAGAGGGAGTTAATTACCGTGGTGTATGTTCAGGATATCTCGTAGCAGAGAAATGTTTAATTTAAAATGTAATACTATTCGTGTGTAAATTATGTCGAAGGACTTTTCCTTAATTCTTTCGTCCGATTAGAGAACTTGTATGATATAAACAGTGTCTGTATGATAGTACAAATTTTTTTTTATATGTAATTAGAAGAAAAAAAATTGAGTAATAAGATATTTTTGCGTTAGTGCAGCGGTGCAAAGTGTTTCACGAATGTAACACTCTTTAGGGACAAATCTTCGTCCCAAAGAGGTCCAAGTGTCCAGGATCCGATAGTGTCCCCTTGTCTTCGATGAGACCATCCATATCTGCGCGACGTTCACCCCAGTTAGGGTTATCTGCAGGATCATTAATCGAAGGGATTTTCTTCAGTCTTACCCGGAGCTATCGCGAGACGTAGAACGTATTAAAAAGCTCAGGAAAATTTGCCGGTGTACAATTGTGGGAGAAAAAGAATTCCTGCTTGGAATAATTCACTCAGAAAGAAATATTCCGTTTCCAAGTGGTGTTACGATATTTACAAAAAAGTTCGTTTAAATTGATTTTTCTGAGGTTGTAAACACTCCTTGTTGATACAATCTACAGGTAGCCTAACTCAGCCACTTATTGACTCGTCTGAAACACCGTTTACTGTTCTACCATTGGTTTACATTCTCCGTACGCCATAACGATCCTCCGTAGATCGCATTTAATCATCCAGAAGCACTTTGTAACGTCCAACTAACTCGCCTCTTCGCGCTATCGATTCTCATAAATAATGCGGAAAAACAGCTTTAGATACGGGTCGAAAGCCTGATGAAATCCCCTTTCTAACGCGCTCGTTCGACCTTTCGAAGGAGTCCTGCTGCCGCATTTTCTGACAGAGTATTAAACTCCTTGTAGGTGTCGTCACGGGATATTTGCATGCAATTAATCACCGGTCTTTCTCTCCTGTACACACTCGAGTGGACAAAGTCGAGCGGCAGTTGAACCATGTGAACGTTGAATTTTTATCACCGTAGAGGAGAAATTAGGGGAGAGACCCGAAAACATTCAGACGCGATTCCCTCTCGCTGTCTCTGTGACGAAGAGAACTCGGAATTTCGTTTGATGCCAATAACAGGGTCGACTCTTAATTACGATTTTATTCGGCCTCGCCGCACGGTGGCCGCGCGAAAAATTTCATTTCGTCGTGTTAGGAGCTTCTACCGTTCGTATTAAGAGCCATGCATGGGAATCTTTATTTTTCGAGATGATTATACGGGTTATTATACTGCACCCTTGGATACGGTTCCCGTTGAAATTCCATTTCCATACGAAAGCAATTAGAATCATCCATTAAATGGAGCTAGATTTCATTTCTTTTCTTTGTTTTTTCTTTTTTCTCTCCTTTTCCTCCATTTTTGGCCTTGCTGAAAGCACGAGCATTCTGATCAAAATTAACGAGATGCACGAAACGATCGCGTACAATTTTACATTCGTACTTGTATAGAATCTCTTGGTAAATTACGACGGTGAATTAAGAGACTTTTTACGCGAGCTTCCGGAATTATTCGAAGGTTTTTTCGCGGACGAGGGAATTAATTTTAATTACGAACACCCAGGGTTGAAGTAAAATTAAAAAAAAAAAAACAGCGTAGGTATGAAATAGTGAAGCGCAACTGAAATTCATGCTGCTGGAATACCTGCGGTTTACTTTTATATTATTCCCCTGATTATCGCGGACCCCTGTTAAAACCGAATTCCGGCGAGCTTTTGCGAAGGAGAGCTGCATTAAATGGGATAATCCTTGTACCTCGTTCTATGCGCTTTCTTTTATTTTATTGAAATTTACTTGGGCGAGAATGTTTCCCGTTTCGCGATGAATTTTCTATTAATCCGGTGAAAATCGATAAAAATTTAACCAGCTTCGTGTTTGCCGCTGGAATGTAATTTATGCTTAACACGGGTATTACAATTAATTTGTACTCGTCAGATCTTCATTTAAAAATATTCACTCTTTCGGCGAATTAAAATTCATCCGTAATAACAGATCGCTTATTTCATCAAAATGAAAGAATTACTCAGCGTGTGTTCTACGTAAAAAAATAAGCCCCAAATTTTCGAGAAATTATAGATTAGATAAAAAATTAAATGGAAGAAGTAAAAGATAAAAAATAAATCAAAAATATGATATAAAATTTTCACGTAAGAAGCTTAATTTTGGAGGAAAGTTGAACTTAAGATTTCCCCTCCGTTCAGCGCTCAAGTAGAACCAACAAGAAATTAATCTGCGAATTACCGAGGCAAGCATTTCGAAAGGTAGAATAAATTAGCAGCAATTTTACACGTGCAACTTCTACCGGCGTACTTAATGAAAACGTCAGGTTCAGATTGCAAATAAGGGCTCGAACAACGTTGTAACAAATAAACAATTCAGCGGAGAGTAAGTTGACGCTTATTGACGTGTCCGGCGACTCTCGCTCTCTGTGCACGTATGCACGCGTGTGTCGCAGTTACGAATAATAATTAATCGTGGCGGGAGAGTTGATTAAGGCCCTATTCATCGAGTTGGAACGTTATAAATCACGCGGAGAGTGCATAGAGATTGTTCGTACGAGGCGCGGGCACCGACGACACGTCGCCTGTGCATCGACGAACAACGCGGAGAAAGCGTGTGAAGACGCGCCGGAGCGAGTGATTTGTGCCTCGTGTTGGAAGCTTTCAGGAGAAAATCCGTTAGGA